GACATTCGCATATCAGCACGGTGGATGTCTGCGTTGTGAGGATACTTGCACATCAGCACGGTAGGGGATGCCGGTGCGTAGTGAGGATACTTAACATCAGTACGGTAGGAAGTGTCAGAGCATAATGGGACACTTGTGGACAAGTACGGTAGGAAGTATCAATGTATGTTGGGGACATTTGTACACAAGTAAGGCAGGAGATATCAACGCGTGGTGGGGACACTTGTACACAAGTACGGCAGGAGATATCAACGCGTGGTGAGGACACTTGTACACAAGCACGGCAGGAGATATCAACGCGTGGTGAGGACACTTGTACACAAGTACGGCAGGAGATATCAACGCGTGGTGAGGACACTTGTACACAAATACGGCAGAAGATATCAACGCGTGGTAGGGACGTTTGTACACAAATACGGCATGAGATATCAACGTATGGTGGGGACATTTGTACACAAGTACGGTAGGAAGTATCAATGTACTGTGGGGACATTTGTACACAAGTAAGGCAGGAGATATCAACGCGTGGTGGGTACACTTGTACGCAAGTATAAGCAGGCCGATACTTTTTGGCCGGTGTCCTTCACTTCAGCGTATGAGAGCGGGTCTATGCTACGAACTTCGTCTACAGAGAGAACATTTGTAGGCTGGCTGCTTTTGAGGTTTGAAGTTGCTCTCCGGCTGCAGGATGAATTTAACTGAACTTTAGTCCTATCAGTCACAATTCAGTCTTTTTAACATCCTATTAAGATGATCTAATTTACTCACAGTATGCTGCACTACACTAGCAACGTTAAATTAGAATACACATAAACCTAACACAATACTAATTACTCGTCTAACAGTTCCACTCCAGACAAGTCACTGTTTTCACTGAGTTCAGTTGTATCATTATCACTGGAGTCGCTGTCACTGCTGTCTTCAGAACGTCGAATGATAATTCTTTCTATAGCGTTCTCTCTAGTTCCCTCTTTTCCATTATATCTTTTCATTCTTTTCGGTGCGGTCGCAAACGTTTCCCCAATTCTCTATTCGAAATTCACTGAACCATTTCTCACACTTCTTTGCCACGTCATCCAAATTAAATGAGACATTTTCTACCCCTACTGACTGCTTAACATCAGCCCAAACGAGTTCAGTCGGATTCAAGTCTGGATGATAAGGCGGAAGTCGTAATACCGTGTGTCCATATGCAGCCATTATGTTGTCCATTACAAAGTTTTTTGTAGAGGGGTTTATGTGCCTTTATCAGGTCATAGAGCTGAATTTTGAGCATTCTGTCATGAAATGGCACATTGTTCACTGTAAGCCACTCAATCGTGTTGGCCTTTCGTGGTCTGGCTGGTTGGCGCCTTCTTAAACTGCACGTTGTGATGTGGGGCATTATCTACAACAAGAACTGATTTTGGAGGCAAATTCGGAATAAGTTTTTCTGTTAGCCACTTCTGATAATTTGTCGCGTTCATTTCGCTATGATAGTCCCCGGTCTTGAGATGCGATTTAAATACCAACAGTGACCCGGGAATGAAGCCGGTTCTGCCTCCCGCGTGCACAATAATCAGCCTCTGGCCCTTCGATACGGGTGCCATGTACCCTGATGGAGTGTTATCTATCCAGTTTTTAGGTCTGGTATGACTGCTGTGAATGAATGTCTCGTCCTCATAAATTATAGTCCGACCTTCCTCCCTGTATTTCTTTATTGCACGCAAATATGTTACTCTCTTCAACCTAATGTTGTCCCTCTCGATCCAGGCGCCCCTGTTATTTCGCGTTTTCTTCCATTTAAAACCCATCTTCCGTAAAATCAATTTCAGGCTGGTACTACCTCCCTTGAAATTTATGGTTTCCCTGAGTTTTGGAAACAGTTTCCTCACAGTAGGCACAGTTTCTTCTTGGGTGTAGAAATCATACAGTGCCTGTCGAATCACAGATATATCGAAATCATCTGGATTTGTTATCCGTTTAGGTACAGAATGGTGTTTACCGGGAGTTCCGAACATAGCGCCTTCTTTTTCACATCGAGAACCTTCATTCAGAATTCTCCATAAACTTCTTTCTGAAACTCCAGTTGACCTGCAGCTGCTTCACTTTTTATAAATGAATGGACGTTATTTACAATCTCTCGGGTCTGGCTGTGCAATGTTTTGTTACCAAGTTTTGACTGAATAAGTGGCATTTGTTTTCTTTTTAAATGTGTTACTGCCCTAAAAGAAAAATATGAGTTAAAAACAAACAACTGGAACGTGGGAGAAGTACACAATATCTACTAATAACAGCGATCCTGCGAGCTCAACGTCTGCCTTCTTACTGAGGCAACATTGTGTCGCTGCGCATGCTCACCGACTTGCGTCAGACCACTACGCATCAGAGATCGACGGGCCAAAATCCGCCGTCCCACCTGTACAGCAGGAGATATCAACGCGTGTTCGATACACTTGCACACAAGTACGGCAGGAGATATCAACGCGTGTTCGGGACACTTGCACACAAGTACGGCAGGAGATATCAACGCGTGGTGGGGACACTTGTACACAAGTACGGTAGGAGATATGAACGCGTGGTGAGGACACTTGTACACAAGTACGGTAGGAGATATCAACGCGTGGTGAGGACACTTGTACAAAAGTACGGCAGGAGATATCAATGCGTGGTGAGGACACTTGTACACAAGTACGGCAGGGGCTATCAACTCGTGGGGGGGACACTTGTACACAAGTACGGCAGGAGATATCAACGCGTGTTGGGGACATTTGTACACTAGTACGGCATGAAATATCAACGTATAGTGGGGACATTTGTACACAAGTACGGTAGGAAGTATCAATGTATGGTGGGGACATTTGTACACAAGTAAGGCAGGAGATATCAATGCGTGGTGGGGACATTTACATATGGACGCTGTAAATGTAAGCGAATGGTGAGAGTACTTGCATGTCATATGTACTGAAAAACCAAATGTTTATTTACTTGAGAGGCAATCTTGGTAAGGCTCCTCGCACTACAATTACTGCATTTACGTTGCGAACAAGAGTAACTCGGCTGATAGAAGCAGCTGGTTCTGGACTGAATCGAGTTTCTCTCCTGTAAGTAGTTGAGCAGTGTGACGTCCAAGGTGAGACATCTTGGCTGTTGCTTGGATCCTTACCTACAGCCCTGAAGATCTCATGACATTATACTACGGTTCCATAGATTTGATATCAGCGCTACTTCTGCTCCGGATCTTAGGCGGGGTTAGGGATAATCTAATCCCGACAGGGCTGTAGACACGGATTGTTCATTTTTAGCCTGCTCACCTTATTTGAAAANCACATTTGTACACAAGTAAGGCAGGAGATATCAATGCGTGGTGGAGACATTTACATATGGGCGCTGTAAATGTAAGCGAATGGTGAGAATACTTGCATGTCATATGTACTGAAAAATCAAATGTTTATTTACTTGAGAGGCAATCTTGGTAAGTCTCCTCGCACTACAATTACTGCATTTACGTTGCGAACAAGAGTAACTCGGCTGATAGAAGCAGCTGGTTCTGGACTGAATCGAGTTTCTCTCCTGTAAGTAGTTGAGCAGTGTGACGTCCAAGGTGAGACATCTTGGCTGTTGCTTGGATCCTTACCTACAGCCCTGAAGATCTCATGACATTATACTACGGTTCCATAGATTTGATATCAGCGCTACTTCTGCTCCGGATCTTAGGCGGGGTTAGGGATAATCTAATCCCGACAGGGCTGTAGACACGGATTGTTCATTTTTAGCCTGCTCACCTTATTTGAAAATACTCGTATAAAAAAGTATGCTTGTGAGATCACCTAGCTGTCTGTATGTCTGTGTGTATATCCCTCTCAAGCTGTGAATGCCTGCACTAATCTTTGTGTAGTTTTGTATGTATATCATGGTACCAGAGCACATCTCAGCGGCATACTTAATAAGTCCCTTCCATCAGGTTGTGTATCTCCCAATCATTGCTAGTCAACGGCTGGGTAAACACGTTTCCAATGCAACAGATCAACGCAACAATAAAGAAGAATTATTGGACTCGTCATTTTCTGCAGTCCCCGTCATATCAGTGGAGAGTCTGTGGTCTATTTATGTATCCCCCTGTCGTTGTTAGGCAACAACTCAGTAAACACATTNTCCTGTAAGTAGTTGAGCACTGTCCAAGGGGAGACATCTTGGCTGTTGCTTGGATCCTTACCTACAGCCCTGAAGATCTCATGACATTATACTACGGTTCCATAGATTTGATATCAGCGCTACTTCTGCTCCGGATCTTAGGCGGGGTTAGGGATAATCTAATCCCGACAGGGCTGTAGACACGGATTGTTCATTTTTAGCCTGCTCTCCTTATTTGAAAATCTCATATAAAAGAGTATGCTTGTGAGATCACCTAGCTGTCTGTATGTCTGTGTGTACATCCCTCTCAAGCTGTGAATGCCTGCACTAATCTTTGTGTAATTTTGTATGTATATCATGGTACCAGAGCACATCTCAGCAGCATACTTAATAAGTCCCTTCCATCAGGTTGTGTATCTCCCTATCATTGCTAGTCAACGGCTGGGTAAATACGTTCCCAATGCAGCAGATCAACGCAACAATAGAAGAATTATTGGACTCCTCATTTTCTGCAGTCCCCGTCGTATCAATGGAGAGTCTGTGGTCTATGTATCCCCCTGTCGTTGTTAGGCAACAACTCAGTAAACACATTCCCACAGTAACGAAGAATTGTTTGAGACGTCATTTTCTGTGCGGTCCATGTCGTAGCAAAGAAAGTAAGCCATTAAATTCTTCCCAGAACTCCTGGTTTATTGCTTTCGAATTTTGTAGGTGGTTTCGTCAATTTGAGATCCAGGTAAACGTTGACTGAATTATTTGAAGTAACCTGTACGTATGTTACAGGAAACATTTGTGTTACATTGCACGCTGCAGAGTGTGAAGTTTTGGGGAGAATTATTGTCATTGTATGTTACTTGGATAACGTTTTGTATTTTTCTATGTTGCAGGATCTTCTCACCTACGTTTCAAGATTTAATGTTTCTGCAGTTCATTCCTCGATCCAGTTCAACAATACCACCTACATGGCAGAAGAAGGATTCTACCTTCGTTCCTCTTCATGGAGCGCGTAAAGTGAAGTGGCTGACGTGCCTGTCTGTAGGACTGCCATGAACCAATACTACTATTTTATCGACATATGTAAAGACGCTATTTAGAATCTGTGGTGTGCATCGAACAGTACTAAAGTATCCCAGGGGATTCAGAATAGAATGAAATGCCAACAGGTTTTTGCAACAAAACATTGTTTGTGAAATAATGTCTGCAAACCATTCTCTGGAAATCTGTGAAGTGCCAACTGAGACCGTATTCCGTGGTAACGATGACGTACTCGGACAGGAACAGCTGACAGCCCCGGTACCCGCTCAAGGTAAAATTTTCTTTAGTTTTACTTCTATGAACATCGTCACGTAATAGTGTCTCTAATGAGTAGTGTACAAGTTCATTGTGTATCTACGTGTCTGAGACCCGGGCGCAGAATTTTTGGACCCGAGAGAGAGGTCAGCGGAGTGAATATAAATGTTTATTCAGGAGCTTAATAAATGTTAGTCTTCCCTAGATACTGGAGTGGTCAGATAAAGGCAGATGAGATGGACGGAACATATACCGAACTTGAAATATGAAATACGTGCACGCAATTTTGGCAGAGAACCTGGAAGGAACAGAACATTTTCGATACCCAGTAATAGATGGAATGGTAATATTAACGTGTATTTGAGAGAAGCTGAAGATATGGACGCGATTTTTTTTTCGTATGGTACGTTCTAACTATGACTTCTTGTGAACCCATTTATAAGCCTTCAGGTTCCGTAAAAGCTCATGCATTTGTTGACCAGATGAGTAATCCATTAGCATCTGAAAAAGGACTCCATTCCTTCCAGTTTCGTTACCAACAATATTGTTCCACAGCCTAGAGTAAAACATCATTTTTATATTTAGTTTATGTACGTGGGTTACTTCAAAAGTCATGGCAACATAATTTTTCCGAAATTTCGAAAACTCCGACCGCAATTTCCAAATTTGCCGCTGAGAGACAGCAATTTCTGATTTCTATTGATGCCGCTAGATAATTCGGAAGTCCAAGGACAACTAAGCGAGTCCAGCGAGAAGTCAGTATGATCATAACCTTCGTCGAGAATGAACGTTAGCCGGCTGGAACAGCGTTATTACGTGAGAATATCAGTGCTTCGCGGCAGAAATGCGACTGAATATCACTCAGAGCTTGTGGAAGCTCTGGGTGATCGTGCTGTACCATACAGAACTGTTGCAAGGTGGATAGAAGCATTCCAGCGTGGAAAACAAGCAAGTGCCGACTTGCAACGTAGTGGACGCCCTGTATCCGTTCGTACCGACGTTTCTCGTGCCATGATCGCCCAGTGCATGGAGAAATATAGGCGTTGGTCTCTGAAGGAGTTACGGAGACATGCAGGGATTGACCAGGCAACTGTGCATCGAATTTTACGAAGACGTACACATGCGCAAGATTGCAGCGAAGTGGGTGCCACGCGTATTAAACGACGTTCAGAAGTGGACACGTTATGAAGCAAGCCGTGTGAACCTCGAACTATATGAAATTGAAGGAGACAGTTTCTTGAACTGGATGATTTTCATCGATGAAACAAGGGCTAGGGCATACAAACCTGAGCTTAAATGGCAGTCCGCTGAGTGGCGACATCCAGAGTTGCCGTGAAAGCACAAGTTTTGTGGAAACCCATCCTCTTTTAAGTTAATGGCCATTTTAGCATACGATGTCCAGGGAGTTGTTCTGTGTCATTTTGTTCCACATGGTCAAACTGTCAGTGCAGCATATTACGAGCCCTTTCTGCAGAATAACTTACGTCGTGCAATTAGTAATAAACGTCCTGAACTGCTTGCAGTGACATCGTCCTTCACGACAATGCAACCCCCCACACAACAAACAGTGTCAAGAACCGTTCACGACGTTGGGGATGGGAAGTACTACACCATCCTTCATGTTCACCCGACTTTTCGCCATGTGACTATGACTTAATACCAAAATTGAAACAGCCATTGCGAGGGAAACGCTTTCATACACGAGAGAACATTTCCAACGCAGTTCGGCGTGAGATGACAAGATTTGAAGAAGATGAAGCTGATGGTATTCACCGTCTTCCTCAACGCTGGTAGCGAGTACTTGATACACTTGGAGACTACTTTGAAGGTTGCTAGTCGTACTATAAGAATTCAGATTTAAGTCACATTGAATTTCTTATTTCTTAATCACAATTGAATTTCTCGAGGATTAAAGAATGAAAGAAAACAGTCATTCCGCAATGTGCAATGTTTCTTGCCTATTATACCTACGCCCCTTCACATCTACCTGATCCGACTAAGCCAGTCGGAGAGGTATATGATGCCCTTTCATAAGTATATTTTGAACTTTCTTCACTGTAACGTGTTTGCCCCCAAAAATTTAGTTGCAGTGACTATTAAAGTAACCCACGTATATAAAGCGAAGCGAAACTTCGGTGATAGAATTTTAAGCCTGCTCTCTTAAAATAAACTTTTTTTAAAATGTATGCCTCTCAGTCAATGCTGTATTGCGTAGAATTTATGTAAATTTACCTCCATTTGCGAAGTTCCATATTGTTTACCTCGTGACGCACCAGAATTTAAATAAACTTGCAGGCCTCGGTGGAACAGAACTCTCAGAGCCTCTAGAGGAAAGAAACTTTTTTCTGCCAGAAGTTTGTTGCCCCTGTTATAAAGAACTTACATAGGCATTAATTTTAATTTTGACCAGTCGAAAGTGTCTTACATAGATGTAATTATTTGCTTCAATAATTTTCTTCGTGTAGAGTAATTTTATTCCTGAGAATATGTGGTAAGTCTTTAGAGCCCCCACGTTCCAACAGAAGGAAATGGTGCGTAAAGTGCACTTGTATTTCTGGTTCCCAGCACGCTGTTCCTCTGTGACGTAACCAGTAAGCAGATCAAATACTCAACAAAGAAGCTGCTACGTCATACATTCTCGACATATTCTACCTGTACCAGCCCTTGAGATTTGATGTCATTTCACCGCTTTGAGTTTCCGATGAATGTTTTGTGAGCAATCTACAAGCTTCGCTTCATTGGAGCGAATCCCAAATTCTCGTATCTGATGCACAAAGGTGGATTGATAAAAAGTTCTCAAGCTGTCAACAAAAATTTAACTTCAATTTAGAGTTTATATAGACAGGAACAACATAATTGTCTTCGTTCCATGTATTAAGGACACTTCATATCATTTTGATTGTTCGTAGAACAGTAGAAAACGTGATAATTGTGTTCTAAATATGGTATGGCTCACACCCTGAGTTAGGACTAGAGTTCTCACCCATGGTTCTCTTGCGGACCCGGACATTTTGTGCGGCGCGCGTACATTTTTGTATTATTGTAATACTGGCTTCCTACACTGAAAAATATTGTTCCAGCGAACACAACAATAGGAGCTATGTTCTCTGTGGACCGTGCTACATCTCGTTGCTGGGTAACACAACAATACTCGACAAGAGAAGACGTTTCGCTAGTCGATAAGAAAGGGTGAACGCAACTCAAGGCCTTACAGGGTTTGGAACCCATGATATAGGGTCTGTTTTCTAAACAATTCTTATTACATGGGTGGAACATGGGAGTCACGGTTGTCATCAAGTTCTCCTCGACCACCCATTTGTCGTCTGATGCCAATAGCCGTCATTGCCAGACTGCTCTTCGCCTGTTTTCTTCTTCATATCGCATGACTTAAAGACTGCTGAGAGGATGGAATCCCCCGTTTTATGCTTTTTCCCGCAAAAACAGTGGCAGACTAATTATGAATATACCGCACGTCTTCATCTACTCCGCTACTCAGAAAGTTGCCATGCATTCCTAGGACCTGTGCAAGTTTACATTCACGCGTTGAAGTTTTTCTTGGAAACAGAACAGATTGGAAACTTCAAATCCCCGTGTCGTATGCAAGACGTGTGAGGGTTTTCCCATAAGAATATTGCAACCCAACACCGATTTGAACCATTTGCTGTTCAGTGCGCATTCTGCGTTTTATTCTCATATCTTGTCTAGCAACGATTCTGTATATACGAATCCGTTTACAGTTCTGTGAATAGTACTGCATGTTGAATTGTAACATACTGAAATTTACGCCGAAAGCTTCTCCTTCCTTAAAAAATTACTCTTCATATACATGAACATTTTGTCTTCTGAGATACAACGCCATGTAGGGCAGTGAAAGTGAACTGACGTTTTTGCGAATAAACATATTGCCTTCATCTTCAGGGTTGAAGATTAAGCCAAGCAGTACGCCAGAATGAAGCAAACAGCAAGATTTCTTGACTTATTCTTTGGCCCTGAAGATGGAGGTGATATATTCCTCCGAAAGTTCTGTTGATTTTCACCGAACTATGCAGCGTTATATCACAGAATATGGAAGCCTTCATAGCCACCTATGTGAGAACCTCATATCCAGTATGTACATTTTATTCAATCTTTATCTCGCACGAGGCATTTCGACATCGGAAATAGCATGGCTGAGTGACTGCTTATAACTCAGGTCAAGTACAGTAGCATTTGTTAAAGCTGCATAGAGCTAGCGATCAGAGTCACCTGGCACATAAGCACAGTCTCGCTTCACATTGGCTATTGGACAATGTGCCTGGGCGAAATTGAAGAAAAAAAGATCAAACATCTTCTAGACTTTAGAAACCTGTTGGCGGCGTTAGTGAATATTTCCAGCATCTGCTATGATTGTGGCGAATTGCATTTGTAATGTTTTAAGACCTCATGATTGTCGATTCCCCTAGCAGTAGGGTTCTCCGCGGGACGAGTGTTTTGACACATCCGCCTGAGAGGTCAATGATTTGCGATACACTCTGAACAGTCTCATTTCGCTTATGCACGCAAATTTCTGCGACGTAAAACAGTCATTATATCATAGTTCTACGCCATGGCGATCCTCATTCTCTACATATTTTTAGTCTCCATTCCTTTCACATGACAAACTTAAGAGAATCGCTTTATTATTCAATAAGTAAATAGTTAAAATTTACCCTACTACAGCACCCACCTAGAAGGTTATGTGAAGATTCTTCTTCAGAAACGTCCTTCAACAACGTATCTATAATATTACAGAGGAAGCCAAACTCCTTCACAATTCTCTAAATAAATATCCCGTGCAACTGTATGCACATGCAAGTTACGTAATTAGATATATATGTATGGTCGGTGTTTATGAACTCTAAATTCCGCAAGTCAGTCACGTTTTTTTTATTATGTTATTTCTGTCACGTAGCACAGTAAATAAAGATAATTCACGTCTCTAACTGGTTGTATTGCTTTTTACAGAAGGGAACAAGCTAACAGTTGCATGTTTTCAGA